TGTACAGCCTTGTTGTAGTTAAGTTTTTCTTATTGTTGGTGTCAATGGGAGAAATTGACCTCCATGTCAATTGGCTGTGGGGACCCACTGTGTCTATAATGGAAGAAGCGCTGTGCTGGAGAAACACTTATGGAGCAGGACTTGTTTCAGTGGGGCTTTGATGTCCACATCCATAAGTTGAATGTGTCACTTATGGATGAGAGTAGTTGAAATCTGGTGTCATCTCACACTGACTGCTAGATACACTAGTTTCTGGATCTTCAATAGGGTGCAGGTCAGCTACTGTCTGAGGCCACCAAGCAGGAGCTACAGTGAGAACTACAATTTTTCTCCTCTTTACTTGGGGTTTGGAGGTTTTGGAGCTATCTGACCAGAGCTGCAGTTTGTTAGGTGAATCTGGGATAAGGCAGACCATTTATATGCAAAAGCAGCTGCGTGGGGCTTGGGTGGGTTTGTAGATTGTGCATGGTGGGGTCTCAGGGAGTCACTAAGCTAGGGCATGGCAAACAGTGCTGGCTTCCAGTCAGCCATCTCTGTGTTTCCACATTTCTAAGTCCCTGAGTCCCATACCCCAGTGCAATAAATAATGATTGCTGGGTGCACCTCTGCATAAAAGTTACCCTCACTTTCCAGCCCTATGCTAGACAGTCCAGCTTCTCCTCATAGGAGTTTGGTTCCCCAGCGATCCCCCAGAAACTGGAGTTTAGCATAATTGGGATCTTTTCTCCCTTTGGGTTGTAAAAAGCAGCACACCCCGTTGCCTACCACCAGCCCAATTTGTGCACCTCTGTACCTCAGCTTTTCAGTGCTTGTGCACATCTCAATGCTCTTTTCTCTTTCCTTCTAGTTGTAGATCTTCCATTCAGCCAGCTTTCCCATGGTTCTGGGTGATAGATGTTATGTCTTTTAGTTCTAGTTATGAAATTGTGCGAGGCAGCAATTTAAGTGTTTACCTATGCTGCCATCTTGGATTCTCTACTAAGGCTATATTATAAAACTAGGAATCCACTATATTTGAAGATAAATCAGAAATTAGGACATGGACTACTTTCCCATATGTTCAAAAGATTTCTATCTCTAATGAATTATTGTCACTTATATTGTTAAGTATGACACTAAATTTATATTGAATTTTTTGAATGGTAATGATTATTTGCAATTGCAATAATTACTTTTACTTTCCTCAAAATATTTTAATCTGTTTTATCTGCTGTTGTTTTCCCAATATAAGTGAAGGCTGTGGAGAAAGGTTTCTTCTCTTTTTTTTTTAACAAGTGAAAAATTAAAATTTTAATACATGTGCATGTGGAATTCATATATGCATGAAAATGCTAAAGAGAGTGAGTCAACATTGGGTGTATATGACATATACAGACAAAGGAGAAAGGTGAGGGAAGAACAAAGTTTTGGATTTCAGAAGTGAGAATGGACAATTTACAAGTAGTTGAAGATGAGAGGAGCACACATGGTAGGCAAATTCTTTTTAAAAAAATATATATTTTATTGATTGTTTTACAGAGAGGAAGGGAGAGGGATAGAAAGCTAGAAACATCAATGAGTGAGAAATATCAATAAGCTGCCTCCTGCACACTTCCTACCAAGGATGTGCCCGCATCCAAGGTACATGCTCTTGACCGGAATCGAACCTGGGACCTTTCAGTCCATAGGCTGACGCTCTATCCACTGAGCCAAACTGTTTCAGCTCATAGGCAAATTCTTGCTAGACAACTCAGAAATGATGGGGCACAGAGGATATCTAGCTAACATGCCCCTGACATGCCTGAGGAGAGAGATTTCTGAGTTCTCAAACTTGAGGTTGTATCAGAATCATCTGGAGGGCTTATTAAAACAAATTCCTGAGCCCCAGATGTTCTGATGCAATGTTTCCAAAAAAAAGTCAATAATTTGCATTTTTAACAAACTCCTTTGCAGATGATGCTGATGTTACTTGGACTACACTTTGAATTAATGTTTTAGAGAAATGTTTCTTAAGTTTGGCTACACATTGAAATTATGTGAGTGGAAAGCTTTTAATCCCAGAGGTTCTGATTTGATTGGTTTTAGGGTAAGGCACTTATATATATTTACATGCATTTCTTTAGTTACCAACAAGTTCAAGTATCTACTCATATGTCTATTAATCTTTTGTGTATTTTTTTCTATAAATTATCATTTTAAAACTTTATGAATTTTAACTTGGTTGGGTCTTTTTGCTGATTTACAGGGGCATCTATATATATATATATATATATATATATATATATATATATATATATATATATATATATATATATATATATATATATAAAAGCCTAAGGGACCATGGCCACCAAATGGATGACTGAAAAGGCTGCATGGGCCGGCAGGCAGGAGTGGGGGTAGTGAGGAACAGCCAAATGACCAAGCAGCGGGCTGTGTGGGGCAACCAGGCTGGCATGGGGGCTAGTGAGGGGTGACCTAACGACCCAGCACCAGGCTGTGTGGGGTGAGGGTCGACCAAATGACCAAGTAGCAGGCTGTGTAGGGTGACCAGACTGGCAGGAGAGTTAGTGAGGGGTGACCAAATGACTGAGCAGCAGGCTGTGTGGAGCGATCAGGCACACAGTGGGGCAGTTGGGGGCAACCAGGCCAGCAGAGGGGGCAGTGAGGGGTGTCCAGGCAGGCAGGCAGGCAAACAATTAGGAGCCAGTATTCCCAGATTGTGAGAGGGACCCCATATTGGAGAGGGTGCAGGTTGGGCTGAGGGGATTCTGCACACACTGGTGCATGAATTGCATGCACCAGGCCTCTAGTTTTAAATAAATTATAAATGTTAACCCTTTTCTGATTTATATTCTGAGAATATTTTCTCTTAGTCTGTCACTTGACTCTTGTCCTAAATAAATTTTCATTTTTATTATATCAGATCTGTTCATCTTTTCCTTTGTGGCTTCTGGGTTTTGAGTTTTGCTTAGGAAAGTTAATCCTAATTGTAAAAGTGTTCTGTACTTTTACTAAGAACTTTGTACTTCAGATTTCTAGTATTCATTTTCTCATTTACTTAGTGATTATTTTTTAATAAGCCAACCTGTTTTCCAGATGGATAATGCATTTTTCAAGATTGAAATCTCTTTTACTAGTTTAAGAAAAAAGAGGTTTGTTAAGAGATATAGATAATATATAGAATCTTTGGGAGAAACAGACTTTATCATGAGAATTACCCAAATTTCCTGTCAAGGCAGTTACTAACTCTGAAAATATTAAGAAACTATCAAAATAGGGACACATCTTGCTTCTATCTCATGCAATTCAATGTTCAACTATCAATAAGTCTTACCTGACTTGGTGGAACCAAAATCATATATGGAACCCTAGCTACAAGTGAATCTCAAAACATAACTTTGTCTATCTAAGAAGTCATCCAATGAGAGAGTTGGAGCAGTCCACAATATCTGTTACTTACTATTCCATAATTTCCCATTATTTTGATAGCCCATAATTTCATAAGTACAGGTTTCCCCCAATATCCAAAAGTAGAGCTTTCATGTCAAAATGGAGTAAAGCAAAGAAACAAATACTATTGATTTATATGGAAAAATTTGTAAGCATTCCCAGACCCCTCCCCCCAAAATAAGCTAACAAATCATACTGTATACACCTAATTTTAGTTTTATGATAAACATAACACCCTTATGACTTAGACTTTTTTGATATCTTGGACAATCTTGCAAATGATGCACAACTATGTTCAAAGCTATGGAAGCTTGATATTGAGATGCTGACTGCGGTTCCTGGTAAGGGAGCTTGGTAGTGCCCTTGCTGCTCAGGTGCATGATGCCTCTGTAAGAACTGCTGCAAAACAAATGCTCATCGCTATTTTCATCTTTATCTTTTTTTTTCTTGCTTTTTTTTTTTTCTTCCTAAAACCAAGGATATTCTTCAGATTTCTTTCAGTTAGTGAAAACAAGTACCATTGTAGGTCTTTAATAAAAGTAAAGTGGCATCATGAGAACTTTACAAAAGTGGAGATACACCATGCTATACAATAAAACTCTAACATGCAAATCAATCAAATTGTGGAAGGACTGGTTGATATGATACGCACTGACCACTAGGGGGCAGATGCTCATCACAGGAGCTGTCCCCTGGTGGTCAGTGCACACTCCCACAGGGGGAGCACCAATCACTGCTGCTGTGCTTGCCAACCATGAGCCCAGCTTCTGCCTGAGTGGTGCTCCCCCTATGAGAAGCTGGGCTCATGGCTGGCGAGCACATCGGCAGTGGTGGGAGCCTCTCCATGCTCTGCAGCAGCACAAAGGATATCTGACTGTGAGAGGGCACAGGCTGGGCTGAGGAACCTTTCCAAGTGCACAAATTTTGTGCACTGGGCCTCTAGTCTATATGCATAAAAGCCTAAGTGACCCTTACAACGGAAAGACCAGAATAACTGGTCACTATGATGTGTGCTGACCACCAGGGGAAGATGCTCAAAGCAGAAACTTCCTCCAGCCTGATCATGTGATTGGGGCCTGCCAGCCAACCTCCTGGTCCCTCCCCTTAGCTGGGCCCTGGGCTGAGACGGGGAACTGAAGATGGGTGACCGTGTTATGGGTGGTGAGGGAAGGAGGAGGAGAGGAAGTGGAGAGGGAGGGAAGTGAGGAACCTGATCAACCCTGATTGCCAATGAGGCCTAGGGACCACACCTGTGCATGAATTTTGTACACTGGGCCTCTAGTCTTACCTAATAATAGACAAACATGTAAACTGACTGTACCTTCACCCATAGCCAGAGTGAGTATGCAAATTAACCCCCCAAAAGATGGTGGTTATTTTGCATACATAGGCACCCAGTGCCTGTGTCCAGGAACATCCTGGCACCCAGATCACTGTGAGGTAAAGCCACATTGGCTCAGAACAGCCTGGGAAGGGCTCAAGGGGAGGGCCAAGCCTACACTCAGAACGAGGGGGCAGGAGCAGAGACTGGGATCACAGGGAGCTTGGGGTCCCCTGTCCATGGCCAGAGGCTTTAGGCCTGGGCTGAGTCCAGCCCACAATTGGTGTGAACTATGGAGGAAACGCCTTTTCTGACTGCACATTGGCTAAGCTTCCTGTATGCCACTGGTAATATTCTTAGTAACTTGGGTAATAAGAATACAAAAAGGTGATCTAGGATTTTTCCACCACACTTCTGGAGAGAAAAACAAAGGTCCACTGCTGGAGAGCTAAGAAATGTCATATCCTGCCCTAGTTGATTTGACTCAGTAGATTTTTTTTCCCAAATAAAGGTTGGCAAGGTTTGGGGGGAAGCTGCCCAATCACTCTTCTATGCTCTAAGGGTCACTTTCCCCCCCCAATTCCTATTAGATGGACTTCATTCTGAGATAATTAAGCTTGATCCTCCAGTTCCTAACTGCTCACCATCTGCATCTATTCTGAAACCCAGATCATAATTTAGTTTTTATCTCAGTCATCAAAATTTTAAATTCCAAAATATCTAGTTGCATATTCTATACATCTCATGGTTCTCTGAAGATATTAATGTCTTCTTCAGACTGTTTTCCTAATGCTAATTGTAGAAAAGGTGCTTCTTTCATGATACTTTCCCCCCAAAATGTGTGATAATGTTTAGTTATCTGTTAAATTTTGTATTTTAGAATCTCTACCCACTTTGTCTTTTTTTGTAAAATATATTTTATTGATTTTTTACAGAGAGGAAGGGAGAGCGATAGAGAGCTAGAAATGTCAATGAGAGAGAAACACCGACCAACTGCCTCTTGCACACCCCCCACCGGGGATGTGCCCGCAACCATGCCCTTGACCGGAATCGAACCTGAGACCCTTCAGTCTGCAGACTGACGCTCTACTACTGTGTTGGGAGCCGAGTCCCCTGCCAACCTGAGAATCGGGGGATGGAGCAAGGGTAGGTAGCCCTGCCTGCTCTCCCCCAGGAGTCGGGTCACTTGGGGACGTGGCAAGCAACAGTGTCCTTCGTTCTGCTGTGCGTGCAAAATTGGAATCTGCAAACATGTCCTTGAATTAACATAGCAGAGTACAGCTGGATGAACTTTCCCAGGCAGCTATTTCCCTGTGTAGGTCTTAAGGAACTGGCACGTAGCATCATGTCCTTGGAGAAAGCCATTTGGAGGAACGCCCAGCTTTAGTGTATAAAAGAGATTGCGCCCTTAATAAACTTGCTGCAGTGCCATTGAGCATTCCAGCCTCCTGAAGCCCCGCTGTTCCTGTTCTTTTCTTTTTTCTTTTCTTTCTTTTCCTGAGCCACCTAGCCCGATCTTCAGGACCTGTAGTACCGGCTGGATTCGGTAGGTGGCGCCCGAAACAGGGTCCTGAGGATACTTGGGAAATTCTAGGAAGGCCACCGCTGGGGTGCTGTTGACAGAAACTGTGAGTAGACGCGGTGGATTAGAGATTCGGGAGTAAAAATGGGGCAAGCTTCTAGCAATGACCTTTTTATACAAGTGCTGTATAACGTGCTAACTTCCCGTGTATTGTAGATAAGACTCAGCTTACGCGTGCAATTTGTTCAAACTGTCTGTCTTTGGTTTCCTGAAGACGGGACCATCAACTCCCGAGTATGGATGCGTATCGGGGAAGAAATTAGGAATTACTATAGTGTTCACGGGCCGGGGAAGGTACTGTAGATGTTTTTGCTTTATGGTCTCTTATAAAGGATTGTCTTGGCACAGATACTGAGCTTACTAAGTGGCAGAAAGCAACTAGGAAAAGCTTTAGGGCTCGGTCGCGCTCCCTTTCGTCCTTAGACTCACCTCCTGCTGACCCACCACCATCTCCGCTGGTTGCTCCATCTGCTCCTCCTAACATTCCTTTACCTCCTCCGCCCTTAGCGGCTTTGGGGGCTTCAGCTTCACCTCCGAGGTATGAGCAGCCCGAGGTAACAATAAAGACAGAAAGGGGGATGCAGACCTATGAGACCTTGAGAAACGTTCAAGCCGCTGCCACACAGACTTACGATCAATTTATAAAGGCCTTAGAGCAGGTTCCAAGGATTTATCCTGAAATCCCTCCTCCCGCGGCTACAGCTCCCTTGGGCCAGAGGCCAAGGGACGAGTTAGATCCAGGGGACTGGGAGGATTTGGCGGAGCAAGCTGCCCGGTACAATCCGAAGGATGAATTTAAGTTGGCTGCCGGGGTCACGGTTACTAAGTCATTAAGTGGCCCGGCATCCATGAAACTCTACCAGATACAGCAAGAGCTCACGGCCATGACAGATTTAATAAAGCAATTAGTTCAGCAGCGGCCTGAAAGCTGCCCGACTCCCCAAGAGAAGGCTTCACAGGAGGCACTTTTGTCGGAACCACCCCCACTACCGGCGCCCAACGTTCCAGTGCCTTCTATGCCTATTATAGCTACTGTCAAGGTTGACCCCCATAAGCGGAGTTTGCCGATGGGTGGCTTGAAGTCAACTCTGGATGATTATTTGTCCCCCTTACAGTTGTCACTCCGACAGGCAAAGCTGAGGAAATTAACAATATAGAAGCCCGGCTAGCTCAGTCGGTAAAGCATGGGACAAAGTGAAAGCGCTCTTTAGAGTGAACGTTGAAGTCTATGTGATCACAAAATAATGTTGTTTATTCTTGAAATTAGAATCTTAGTATATGTATGGAATTTAAAATCTGTAATAAGTGGAACTCCACTGCTGAAACTGCCTCTGATGCGGATAAATTCAAAGGCAGCTGGAGAGGGCAGGGCTATCTGCTCTCCCACATTAAGATTACTTGCAATAAGACTACTTAATACCTTGTTTAAAAATTATAAGAGAACTCACAGGGAAATGCAAATCTTGGCCAAATTGGGTATTAGTTATTATTTCAGAAAGCCAAAAAGGAAGAAAAAAAAATTGAGATCTGTCTATCTTTTAAGCATGAAAAGAAATTCAGCCAGATCTGTTGCTGATACTTCCCCTGAAGTAAGCAGGATGTGGGGGAAGGGAGAGACATGAGGCGATCCAATATAGAAGCCCGCTCTCCTAGTATAATAAATTAAAAGTTTCCTTTCTCGCCATAAAAAAAGTTTTAAAAATTTAGAAATACGTCTGGGATATCTGTACACGTGTAAAGAGAAAGCTAGTATAAGACAAAATGTGCACACACCCGATTTCGGATATTAGATAGGTCTTGAACTAGACTTAACTCTTTACAAGGGCTACAGAAATGAAAAACCCAGAGCTGGTTCTTTTTCCTGAGAAAAACAGCGAAAAAAGTCTTGAAAAAAAATTCAAGCTAATTCCAGCAACAAGATTTGCATTTCCATAATAAGGAGTAGTTTTCAAAATGCTAGTGAACCTTAACTTTTAAGGCCTTCAAGAAAATAAATAAATTTGTCTCTGTCATAGAATTTATCCAAAGTAAATACTTTAAAATAATTATAATTGATTCTAGAATCTCAAAGAGATTATTGAAATATAAATAAATAATATATAAATTATAAAGATCTAAGTAGTCCAGGTAACTGGCTACATCCTTTGTTGAGGGAGGAAAGGATAGAGGCCCTTCCCCCAGCAGACAGTTAATATAGTGTCCTGCCAGTAGCCATCTTAAAGAATGTGATAATTTACAGTCGAATAAACAAAACCTAGTTTCCCAGAACCACTGGCAAATAAAAATTAAAGTTTAAACTTGCCTCATAAAAAACCTAAAGAACAGAATTGAATCTATTAATTGATTATGTCATATTTTTCTTAGAAATATAAAGTATTATTAGTCTAAGAACTACTAAATATATTTAACTTACCGGCTTTAAAAATTCAAAGTACAAATTAAATTAGAAGAAATTATAGAGTTGTGGTAATTAAATACTTAAAGCATAAAAACTTATTTTTAAGAAAATAAAATATTATATTTCCTCTAATAACTAGGAATTCAAAATAAGTTGCTTATTATTGATCTAATTAAAAAGAAGATTAATTCTGTGATCTCAACCAAAAATTTTCTATACAAAAACTAGTCTAAATCTAATATCTTAAGATAATAATAGATAATAATAACAGGTATTAAAATATTTAAATCATATGTAGATATTTGTTTGGTGGTTTTTTCCATGTTAAAATTTCAAGGCCTTAACAGAGATGATTCTTGGAAAGCTCCAAGGGCCCGGAGTAATACAAGAAATTTATTCTCTCTTCTTATAGGAAAACTTTTTAAAACAGATCTAATATACTTGAAATTGCATGGAAAGCCTTATCAAATAAAAATTAATAGGTATATATTAAATATTATAAAAGTTTTCGCCTATAAGAAAGGCAAAAACAATATATATTTCTTAAATATAGCCAAATTTTTCAACAGCAATAGAATTTCAAGAAAGATAAAAGCCATGCTTTTGGATCAGACCAATAAAGTATCAAATCTATAAGTTTTACTGAATAAGTTTCTTTGCCATTTTTTAAAAATTAAAAATATCTACTTAAGTTTTTATAAATTTATAAATTAGCCTTTATAATATAATCAATGTCATATAAATTAAGTTACATGAGAAGCCAATGTTTTATAAATAATTGAATTCTAACTGTATATGGCCGCCTACACTTTAATTAAGCTAAAGGCAAGGCAACATTTGTGGCTTATGAATTCAAAAGTAAATTTGCTTTATTTTTAAAGTAAAGATACCTTACCATGATAGCAGTCAGCACCTGTATATTACTACAAGTTGCCCAAGAGGAAGGTCGATGTACACACCCTTCTACATAGAAGTCAAAATACTTAATATTTTATATTCTACCGGGAACCCTGGCTTAGGGGCTTGATTTATTTCTAACACAGGGAATAGTATTAACTACCACATTAAAAATAAATTTTTTTTAATCTCAAGTATTAACCATTTTTATAGATAGATCCAGTTCTGAAAAGGCTAGATATACTTCAGCAGAGGAGCAAGGGTCCTTCAAACTGCTTATATTTCAGTAGGAATACAAGCTCTTATTTATACCTTAACAGATTTTACTACAGAGCCCATCAATCTATAATAATAGTACTTATATGGTAAGTATAGCAAAAATTATTAAAACAGCTATTATAAGGCACATTAATTCAGCTTGTATTGACACCATTCAACAGCTATTTCAAGATATACAAGGGATCCTACATTCCCGGTCTAGCCCCTGCTTTATTAGACATGTACGGGCCCACTCTAACCTTTCAGGGCCCCTAGCTACTGG